TCACTTCAAGGAGCCAAGGCTTTTATTGTCATCTGAACAACGCTACAGTGTAGATATGTCACTGAAGATCTGAGCTCCGTGTATCCATCATTTCCAAAATGTAGAGTACATGTAAGTAAGAGCAGAGGTGGGAAGTAGTGGAGTACAAATACTTTGTTACTCTACTTAAGTACATGTTTCTGGCATCAGTACTTTACTCCACTACTTATTTTTCTGACGACTTTTTACTTTGACTTCTTACATGTTGAACTCAAATACCTGTACTTTCTACTTCTTACATGTTGAACACAAATACCTGTACTTTCTACTTCTTACATTTTGAACACAAATACCTGTACTTTCTACTTCTTACATTTTGAACACAAATACCTGTACTTTCTACTTCTTACATTTTGAACACAAATACCTGTACTTTCTACTTCTTACATGTTGAACACAAATACCTGTACTTTCTACTTCTTACATTTTGAACACAAATACCTGTACTTTCTACTTCTTACATTTTGAACACAAATACCTGTACTTTCTACTTCTTACATTTTGAACACAAATACCTGTACTTTCTACTTCTTACATGTTGAACACAAATACCTGTACTTTCTACTTCTTACATGTTGAACACAAATACCTGTACTTTCTACTTCTTACATGTTGAACACAAATACCTGTACTTTCTACTTCTTACATGTTGAACACAAATACCTGTACTTTCTACTTCTTACATGTTGAACACAAATACCTGTACTTTCTACTTCTTACATGTTGAACCCAAATACCTGTACTTTCTACTTCTTACATGTTGAACACAAATACCTGTACTTTCTACTTCTTACATGTTGAACACAAATACCTGTACTTTCTACTTCTTACATGTTGAACACAAATACCTGTACTTTCTACTTCTTACATGTTGAACACAAATACCTGAACTTTCTACTTCTTACATGTTGAACACAAATACCTGTACTTTCTACTTCTTACATTTTGAACACAAATACCTGTACTTTCTACTTCTTACATGTTGAACACAAATACCTGTACTTTCTACTTCTTACATGTTGAACACAAATACCTGTACTTTCTACTTCTTACATGTTGAACCCAAATACCTGTACTTTCTACTTCTTACATGTTGAACACAAATACCTGTACTTTCTACTTCTTACATTTTCCAAACAGGCTGGTTCCTTTAGTTTGAATGTGTGTTTGGTGGCGTGATCATTATTATTTAGAGTCATTGCGTGCCTATTGATTTGAACACGATCCGTGTATCCATCATTTCCTGGTCTTCTCTAAAGAAGAGGGACCAATGAAAACGTTGTCATGTTGCCGTTGTTCAGCATGGAAGCATTCATTAGCTAACAATGACATTATTGTTCTATTAATATAAAGGGAGGTCAGGTACTCTTTAAAACAGCTGCTAGTTACGGGTACTTTTTACTGAAGTACATTTCAAAGCCCTCTTTACTTTGACTTGAGTAAAGAAGTTTAGTCAGTACTTCTACTTTCACCAGAGTATTTTTAAACACGAGTATCTGTACTTCTACTTGAGTAAAGGATGTGTGTACTCTTGCCCTCTCTGCTCAGGTGTTAGTGGGAACTTCTCGCGCTCGCTCTCTGTTCGGGAAGTTCAGCGCTGACGTGGAGTCGTGTTCTCCGGCCGCTCTGAAACGCCTCATCTCGTGGAAAGAGACGAGAGGACGACAGGAAGTCGGCTCAGATTCTACAGGAAGTGATGCTGCTTCTGCCTGGTGCTGAAAATACATCCCATAACAACAACACTGGGGAACACAGCTGCTCTTTATACCCTGTAACCATTCACTGCTGTACAGAATAAAAACTTTCAAAATCAAATATACCATCTGTGATCTCATTATTTTAACACCAGAGGTGGGAGAAGTACTCAGATCTTGTACTTCAGTAAAAGTAGAAGTATTTATTACTTACTCCAGGACTTTAACTTGTAACAGAGTTTTCCTACTGTACACTCTGGTACTTCTACAAAGTACTTTTACTCAAGTACAAGATCAGAGTATTTCTACTTTTACTCAAGTACAAGATCTGATACTTCTACTTTTACTCAAGTACAAGATCTGATACTTCTACTTTTACTCAAATACAAGGTCTGAGTGCTTTTTCCACCTCTGGTTGAATTAAATGCAACTTGTTGTATTTTTGAAATTTCTGTATGGATGTTATTGAATTATTACTATTATTACTTTTTGTGTTACACTATTTCAAGTATTTATAATTTTGTTATTTAATTTTCAGAGGAAATTAAAATAAAATATTCACACTTTTATTTCTTGGCCATTTTCTTCAAACATTTTTAATTTTATCTCGCTATATATACTAGCTAAATTATTAAAATCATTTTCACAAACTGCATTTATCTAGGTATAATTTATCTACTTTAAAGAAATATCATTAATCACCTTTATTTATATATTTGTTCCTAAAAAACCCAATTGAAATTGTATTTACGGTGCGTCATTTCTACCTAGCCTACTACGGTAAATCCTGCTCCTCTCCCCCAGTCTTTACGGCGCTTCTCCAGCCCATGTGTGCGGAAGTAGCTCCGCTTGTTCTGCTTCTGTTTTCTGACAGAGAAAAAAAAAGCTCCAGAGGAGAATCTCTGAGGAGGCTGAGTTTAGAAACTTCTACCCGGCTTTGGAGTGACGCTGGCCGGCGGGAAGGATCTGGAGCACCGGGGTCTGAAACATGGGCCTCCTGGCGAGGGTCAGGAAAGAGTGGTTCATTATCGGGATAGTGCTGGTCATCTTATCCGCCAAACTGCAGCCGAGCATCGGTGTGAGAGGAGGTGAGTAAACACCCAGTGAAGTCCATTATAATCTCTAAATAAAACATATTCATGTGTGTCTAAAAAAATGCTGTTTTATTATCTTTTAGTGCCAGATTTCTAAAGCGTTTCCTCCTATTTGTATGTACTTTTTCTCTTATAGCCACACATGATCTCGCAGAAAATGAATTGATAGCATTAATTAAAAGTTAGGAATCAGTGGAATGAATCGGTGTAGGAGTGCTTTACCTGCAAGCATTTTACTTTTAATAAACTCCCAATTTTAATACTTAATTTAACTCCGTTTTGCCCATCGCTCCTGGAATGGAAGTTGAATTTCTGCTCAAATACTTGTTATTTATTATACATTGTGTACGCCGAATTAAAGTTTAGAACTAGGTAAATAAATAAAGCCTACAGTGAATTTATAATTAATGTTTATATTTGTTAAGAAGTTGAATTTACTGTTCAATTCGTGGTTTTCTAAATGGAGTTTTGGTTCCAACGTGTATAAGGGCTACTACACTCCCCTGTGTGTGTGTGTGTGTGTGTGTGTGTGTGTGTGTGTGTGTGTGTGTGTGTGTGTGTGTGTGTGTGTGTGTGTGTGTGTGTGTGTGTGTGTGTGTGTGTGTGTGTGTGTGTGTGTGTGTGTGTGTGTGTGTGTGTGTGTGTGTGTGTGTGTGTGTGTGTGTGTGCGCGCGCGCGCCCTCTCCTTACCTGGCGCTGCAGTGACACGTTGCATTCAGCCGTAATGTCAACATGGACACACGCACACACTCATTGGCTCATATCTCTTTTATTTACTCATGTGGGAGTTTAGCAGCTCTTTGGTGTCAGGCTGTAAAATAGATAACATACATTATCTTGTATGTATTTTCACTGAGGAAACACTTGGTTATCATTCCTTGTCTGATGACCTCTAAGGAACCTGTATCAATTCAGTCACACCTCCAGGTTTTATCCTGCAGATTAGATGAGATTAGCTCCTGTGCTGCCAGGAGGATGCCTTCAGGTGCACCTCGGAAACTCCTCAATTCACAGCAGAAATGAAAGGTCCCACGTCATGGCCATTTCAACTGATAATAATTCCATTGTTGAGGTCTACTAGAATAAATGTACATTGTGCAATTTTCCAAACTCACATTGGTTTCTCATACAGCATCTCTGTATAGTATGTGTATTCACTCTCTGTCCTAAACGGCTTGTTGGAGGCCTTAGACGCTTTTATCCAAAGCGACTTACATACTCCATACTGTGGGCAATCCCCACAGGAGCACTTTGGGGTGAAGTGTCTCAGGGACACAACGACATGCTGACTGCAGTGGGGTTTGAACCTGTGCTCCCCTGATCCGAACACCAACGCTCTATCCACTGCGCCACACGCCTTATTAATATATAAACATTAATAAACATCCAAATGTGACTTTGTTTCCTCTCTCAGGTCCATTAAAGCCGGAAATCACCATCGCTTACTTCGCTGTCTCGCTCATATTCTTCAACAGCGGCCTGTCACTGAAAACAGAGGTGTGTGTGCACTTCATATATATATATACTGATGTTAATAGAAAACTGTGTAGATAAAGATGTTGTGTGTGTGTGTGTGTGTAGGAGCTGACCAGTGCGCTGCTTCACGTTCGACTGCACCTCTTCGTCCAGTCCTTCACCCTCGTCTTCTTCCCGCTCGCTGTCTGGCTGCTGCTCCGAGTCCTCTCTCTCAGCAGCATCGACCAATGGCTGCTCAGAGGGTACGTGTGTGTGTGTGTGTGTGTGTGTGTGAGAGAGAGACTGTGTGTGTGAGTGTGTGAGTGTATGTGAATGCCATCCTTTATGTAGGTACCTGGAGTTATGTTGCTGACACAAAGACCCTCATTCACCCTAAAACAGGCCATGCTGTGTGTGTGTGTGTGTGTGTATATGTGTGTGTATATGTGTGTGTATATGTGTGATCCGTTACTGTGTGTAGGTCATGTGTGTGCTTGTGTGTATGTTAGGCCTGTGTGTGTGAGTTAATGTCAGATAACTACAGAGTGTATTTTAATTTTTAATTTATAATTGTATTATTATTTTCTTCTCATTATTTCCTTATTGTTGCCTAGGTTACAGACTGTGAGCTGCATGCCCCCCCCGGTCTCTTCGGCCGTTATCCTCACCAAGGCTGTCGGAGGCAACGAGGTAACACACACACACACACACACACACACACACACACACACACACACACTAGTAGGTCATCACCCTCCAGTGTTTGAGAAACGATGTAATATTTAATCATGTTGTCCTAATGACTAACTGTGTGTGTGTGTGTGTGTGTGTGTGTGTGTGTGTGTGTGTGTGTGTGTGTGTGTGTGTGTGTGTGTGTGTGTGTGTGTGTGTGTGTGTGTGTGTGTGTGTGTGTGTGTGTGTGTGTGTGTGTGTGTGTGTGTGTGTGTGTGTGTGTGTGTGTGTGTGTGTGTGTGTGTGTGTGTGTGTGTGTGTGTGTGTGTGTGTGTGTGTGTGTGTGTGTGTGTGTGTGTGTGTGTGTGTGTGTGTGTGTGTGTGTGTGTGTTTTTGCAGGCTGCTGCCATCTTTAACTCAGCATTCGGGAGTTTCCTGGTAAGACTTCCTGTCTGTGTGAGCTTCAGTGTGTGTGTGTGTGTGTGCAGGGAGTCGAGTGTTAATGTGTGTGTTTCTGTCCTTCAGGGGATCATCGTCACCCCGCTGCTGCTGCTGCTCTTTGTGAGGAAACACACTCTTTTATATACACTTTATTTACTTAAAAATACTGTCATGTGTGTCAAAGAATGTCGTGGTGCCTTCAGGTGCTGCTCGTAAACTCTGGCATCGTACAGCAGTAGATGCAGCCAGTTGCTTTTGTCCAGAAATATGAACAAATTATACAGAAATATTGTCTTTATTGCCTCAGTATTATACATTAATTTAACACATGAGAACAATAGTTAAATATATATTATATAATGTAATATAAATATTAATAACGTGATTTCTGTGTGTCTTACAGCTCGGCTCCTCCTCCTCCGTCCCGTTCTCCTCCATCTTCTCTCAGCTCTTCATGACGGTGGTGGTTCCTCTCATCCTCGGTCAGGTGTGTGTGTGTGTGTGTGTGTGGTGTTTGGTGTGTGTGTGTGTGTGTGTGTGTGTGTGTGTGTGTGTGTGTGTGTGTGTGTGTGTGTGTGTGTGTGTGTGTGTGGTGTGTGTGTGTGTGTGTGTGTGTGTGTGTGTGTGTGTGTGTGTGTGTGTGTGTGTGTGTGTGTGTGTGTGTGTGTGTGTGTGTGTGTGTGTGTGTGTGTGTGTGTGTGTGTGTGTGTGTGTGTGTGTGTGTGTGTGTGTGTGTGTGTGTGTGTGTGTGTGTGTGTGTGTGTGTGTGTGTGTGTTAAAAATGCCCTGCATGTTGTGTTAACTGTGTGTGTGTTGTGTGTGTGTGTTAACTCTCTCTCTGTGTGTGTGTGTTAACTCTGTGTGTGTCTTAACTCTCTCTGTGTGTGTGTGTGTGTTAACTCTCTGTGTGTGTGTTAACTCTCTGTGTGTGTGTACAGGTGTGTCGGGGCTTCCTCAGAGAGTACCTGGACAGGAGGAAGCTTCCCTTCAGCACCGTCAGCAGTGTGGTGCTCCTCCTCATCATCTTCACCACCTTCTGCGACACCTTCAGTAACCCCAGCATCGAGCTGGAGCCCAGCAGCCTCTTCATCATCGTCATCATCAGTCAGTGCCAGTACACACACACACACACACACACACACACACACACACACACACACACACACACACACACACACACACACAAATACAGTATTCAAAGGAAACCAATTAAGAGCAAAAGCTTGAAAAAGTGTAAATTGATTCTGCTCATAATTGAAGCATTTAATATTTGAACGTAGTGAAAAATGAAACTTGTTTTGTTAAAGGACTTTTTTATATACATTTAAAACAAAAACGAAATATATATAAAAACAAATTAACCAAATGTGTAAGAAAGATTATTAAAAATTAAATAAATGTTAAAAGGCACTAATAATTCAATATAGGGTTAGTATTAAACTACTATACATGACATGTTTCTCTATTTAGGATAATAAAGAAAGTATAATAAATATTTAAAGTCATATAATTGCATTAAATCTCAGATACAGTCTGATATTTGCACTTCCTCCAACACCTGAGACACAAAGTCTGTAATAAATGCAAAAGAAAGCTGCCTAAAAATAATCAGTTGCATCCATTCTTTCCATATTATGTAAGAAATGGTTCTACTTTTGTAATTTAATGCAGAATAAACCATCCTTTCTAACTTTACTGTGTTGTATTAATGATGTAAACACAGTGGATTTTAATTTAAAGGGGACCTATCATGCAAAATGCACTTTTTTATGTCTTGTATACATCAAGATGTGTCCCCGGTGTGTCGGGGAACTCACGCAGCGTCAGAAAATAAACCCCTCTCTCTTTTCCTCCGTACCCAAATCTCTAAAAACGGGGGTACAACGGAGCTGATCCAGATTTGCGTCCGATATGACGTAATATCTGAAATGTGGACCCACGGCCCATCAGAAACGTTGCTATCAGAAACAATGCCCGACTGTTTTGGACGTAATATGGTCGGTGTTTACATTAGCATCGCTAACACTCAGAGCTAACCTGTACTGGAGAGCATGTGTGTGAAGAAGCAGGAAATAAAAAGGAACTCACCTTGTGGTATAACCGGCAAGAGAGAAAGCCTTTGAGCTCCATACTGTTTCAGAAACAATCCTTGATAATCCATGATATGGCGTTTCATCACGGCAGTATTTAGTTTAGACAGTAGCTGCAGGGTCCCGCATGAGCTCAGACCCCTCCTTATTTATTTTAAAGCTTTATACCCCAAATCAGCACTTTTGAAACAGGAAGTGAAATAGAGGGATATGAGGCATGGCTAGAATGATCTGTTTGGTATTTTGAGCAAAACACTTCATAGACATGTTTTTTATATATTTGTATATATCTGAGACCTATGCTATTGCCTAAAAATAGCATGATAGGTGACCTTTAACATTAAACTGATTTCTCTCTTGTTGCAGTCTTCTCCATTCAGCTGAGCTTCATGCTGCTCACCTTCGCCCTCTCCACCAGGTCAGTCTCATTCTCCTCTTTACACATTTTTTGACATTTTATTTACCAATGTGTTCATTACTTCCAGCTGTCCAGCAAATATTAAACACATTAGTCTCACAACATAGATAGATAGATACTTTATTGATCACTCTTTCGTCACAGAAGCAGAAGTGTGTTAAAAAATATCAGGGAATAATTCTGTATACATGTTTACCTCTCGCCCTCTGACGCAGCTGACCAGCCTTGATCAGCCGCTATCTCCCTTAAGGAGGGGCTGCCCTAGCAAGTTGTTGTTGTTGTTGTTGTTACCAGTTTGTGACCGGGCAACTCTCGGTCAGAGATAGTTATTGTTGTGGGACACCTGGAACTGTTTCGTCTCCTATTTATGCAGAAATACCTTAGCGTACATTACTAATGCAGCTTACTCATCATACTTTTACTGCAGAACACAGTCATGTACTAGTTTGTATTTTCTGTAACAGTAAGAGGGAACAGAGGAGAGTTTAGATTTGATATTAGCTACAGGTGAGATGTTTCACTTCCTGTTTGTCTCTCTGCAGGTCGGGGTCAGGATTCAGCCCCGCAGACACCGTCGCCATCATCTTCTGCTCCACACACAAGTCCCTCACTCTGGGTACACACGCACACACACACACACACGCACACACACGCACACACACACACACACACGCACGCACACACACGCACACACGCACACTGATCCAGAGGCATTATCCCCATTAGTAACAGATAACATATTTAAAGTGACCATGCTAAGTCTGTTTACAGGTGTCGGGGAGTCAAGCCAATGCTCCAAGCCGACTGTTGTTAGATTAAAAGTCTAAATTAAATAAAACAAGTTATATATTTACCCAGGGTTCGAGTTATAATCTGAGTTTTATGGGGGTCTTTAAAACTAACGTGAGGGGCGGAGATAAATATATCAATAACAGCCGGGTAATCACGTAAATAGCGGGTGATATTTATATACCTTAGAGGTGCAGTGCAGGCATATTGTCATTGGAGAGAGAATACCATGCGGAGTTCTTTTGGAAAACATGTTTTTCTTTGAGCCCACACCACGTTAACGTAAATAATACTCGTTACATTGACACATGCATTAT